TCAAAAAAGTAGACCGGCATACCATAAAATAATGGATGAAAAAATATATCAAAATTGATATCAAATTATAGATAATAAGGTGATCTTTTTGTGTAATTTGTTTCGCTCCTATTTTTGTTATATTTCACCAATTTTCGATTTAAAAAATGACGAGTGATACTTTTGTTTTTTAAGATGGTTATAACCACCTTTTTAAACATATTTATCGGATGAGTAAAAGTTTGAATGAGTTATATGGTTTTTTTTTCTAGGAATATCTTTAGGGTTCCCCCCCCCCCTCTCTCTCTCTCTATATATGTATATATATACATACATATACATATAGACTTGGGATCATGTGAGACCAGCCTGTTTTCGTGAGACCTGTGAGACCAACATTTTACACTTGAAACTTTACAACAAAATGTTGTGAAGGTGACTTTTTAAAACATTCACAGTGTTTTTGCTGTGAATGTTCGACTTTTTTTAAACCTTCACAGTGTTTTTGCTGTGAAGTTTACGTGTAAAAATGTGGTCTCACGGGTCTCACGAAAACAAGCTGGTCTCACGTGAACCCAACCCTATATATATATATATATATATATATATATACATATATATATATGTATATATATACATACATATATATGTATATATATACATACATATATATGTATATATATACATACATATATATGTATATATATACATACATATACAAGGGCTCATTCAAGGGAGAATTGATTAGTTTGTGGTAACTATGAGATCCAATCTCAACCACATATCAACGGATAAATTAGGAAATTAGTAATTTTGGTAATTTGAGTTAAAATTATAATTAGAGGGCATTTTAGGTATTTCTAAAAACTTCTCTCTCCTCTCTCCTCTCACCTCTTACCTCTCTCCGACTTCGGATCTCCAACCTCCGATGAACATTATTCCGACCGGTACCAAGTAATCATTGTGATATACAATGTGATACCCATTGTGGTATCACTGTGATACCATTGTGATACCAACTATGATATCAACCCAAACCTTAAAAGCAAAATCAAATCCATAATCTAAATTTAAGGAATACATACTGATCATCCACGTTGTGATACCCAAAATACATACAAGATGCAATGTGATACCCAATGTAGTACCAATTGGGGTACCACTGTGTTACATCTCCGATCAACCATACAAATGACCTCAATGTGATACCCAAACACATATATGATGCATTGTGATACCATTGTAGTATCATCGGAGGACGGTGGCTGGAGGACGGGGGACGGGGAGAGAAGAGAGGAGAGAGGAGCGTTTTTAAATACCTAAAATGTTCTTGAATTAAAATTTTAATTCAAAGTTACCAAAATTATAAATTTCTTAATTTATCTATTAATTTGTGGTTGAGATTGGACCTCACGGTTACCACAAACTAATTAGTTTTCATTTGATTAGGCCCCTACATATATATATATATATATATACATATATATATATATATATATGTGTGTGTGTGTGTGGGGGGGGGGTTAGACAAAGATCGTGTGAGAACATGAGTTAAAGTGAGAAATATAAGAAATGATATTTGAACCCTTGATCACTTTTAATCTCAAACCAATCCATAAATTATACTTTAGAAGAAAATTAATCTAATGTTTCTTTTCAACAAAGATCAATTTAATAATACTAGTTGTGTACCCGTGCAATGCAGCGGGAGCCATGAATTTTAATGATTTTGAAGTTCCACTGGTTTTATAAGATAAGATTTAACGATGATATATGTTACACTTGGTCTTTACATATTAATACAATTTAAATAAATAAGAGTTATGGTTTCAATTACAGACTATCGATGAAAAAAATTGTATGACAGTTTAAAATCCAATATATTTAAACGACTCCACAAATGTGTTCGATTTACACCAAGAGCAAAGAACCAAGATACTTGAGTTTTAAGATAAACACTCAAAACCAATAAAAAAAACTACAAATTTGACAGATCATAAGTCATGAAAAGACAAAAAAAAGATGGGTTTTAGAATGAAATTTCAACTGCTTACCCTCTTTCTTGTTCAGAAACTCAGATTAAGGTTGAATTAATACATATATATATATATATATATATATATATATTTCAAAAAAACCCAAGAACATATTAATTCAAAACATATTATACAGTGCAATTTGGACAGCCTAACCCCAAAATATATAGTATATATATAAATAAATAACTATAAAAGTATAAATCGTAAATAATTAAAAATATTTTTTCACAATATATATAATAATATAATTAAGTCAAAAACTATTCAATATTGGACTTATTTCGAAGGTATTAACGAGACAATTATAATGGTGTAACTTGTTAAAATAAAAATATATTTTTTAAACATGTTTTAATTGATATAAGATTATGTATGTTAATTTGATAAAAGTTTAAAATGAAAAATTTAAAAGTAAAGGACGTAAAATAAATAAATAAATTAATTATAGGGGTATAAAGTGTAAATTTAAAATTATAATTTAAAAAAAAAATCCTTTTGAGAGGGTGAGTGTATGTGAGGAGAGGAGGGGGTGAAAAAGTGAGTATAAAGGGTATTTTGATCATTTAAAATTTTAAAACTTTAAAACTTTTGTTAAATTTGCTTAATAAAATAATATAGATACATATTTTTTTTATCTTTCTCATTTTAACTTTCATCGTTACCGATACACAATAAGTGTTGTCCACAACCAAAATATTTGGTCTTTTTTAATTAGTATTGTGGAGGAGGATGTTGAGGGTTGAAAAACACGTGCATTGAGTGTGACCAAACACACACCAAACCAAGAGAAAATATCCAATTTCATGACCAAATATCTTAAAACACACGCATACCTACTTATCTTTTCTTTTTATATTTATTAATTATTTCATTTTTTTATTAACCTGGATATCAAACCCGCTATGCGAGCCGACTAATCCCAGAGCAACTATCTGCTTTACAGATGGCCTGGAGTCACCGCATTTGAACCTCCGTGGCCAAACTGGGGATTTTTATTCCTCCTTGGATATTCGATTTATTTAAATTTACTATAAATCATTTTTTGATAATTTAAAACCCTTAAATACATATAATACCTTACCAAAAATGGCAACATTGAACTCTAAATCTATTTAGAAAACACGGGATTCGTTGTGAACTATAAATCATATTGTTTCAATCCGTGCATCGAAGACAAAATCACATGGGAACGATGACGAGCGATCCTTTCACAACCGATGGATGCCGTTAGATTCAAGATTCAACTTAAACATCTGAAAACGAAACAAAACAACTGTTTACCTTTCAGTATGCAAAGCCTATTCGCTGATCTTGATAGAAACTCACAAGGGCCAAAACTATATAGTTCCCTAAATCCTAAGTAATCAGCAACCACACGAACAATCGGGTATAACCTTAGAGACTAAACAACAAACACTGTAACTCGTAAGTCGTAAATCCGAAGAACAGTAAAAAAAATCTTGTGGTCTCATGTTTGATGTGACATTAGACTAGAACACAACAGTACCTAATTGGGACACAGATACATTTTTCTGTCCCACCAAATATATTAACAAAAAAGTCAGGGATGTAAAAAAAATTGATAAATTATTAAACTACTCATGTCAGATTAAAACCCTAAGATTTTTCAAGATTCTTTCACCTGCTACCTTCTTCTCGCAAATCCATTTCAGTCTTGTCTGCATACCAAATGCATCCTTAAAACTAATATACCTGCGCCACTTGTCGAAGAGGGACTCTGTCATATTCCGAATTCAAGAATCTAAGAAATCGTCAATCGATCTTTCTACGTACGTATCCACGTATTTCTTGAGTTGGGGTCTTTGTTTATAATGATTAAAGAAAATCTTGATTTAGAAGTCATAACCACCCATAAAAAAAGTCAATTTAGTAACGAAATGATTTGAAACTTCAAATCAACACTTCATTTACAAGTTACTACAAAATGAAGCCAAAAAATATGGTACGAATGATTCAATGTAGAAACGTATACCACACCAAATCAAACCTAATAATTCTTTTTAGATTAAATTACAATTTTTTTTTCATTAACCCGTATATATCCATCTTGCTATGTGAGCCGACTAATCCCACGACAAGCACCTGCTTTGCAGATAGCCCGGAGTTACCGTATTTGAACCTCCGTGGCCACAAGAGGATTTTTATTACTCCTTGGATTTGAACCTGGGAGCTTCTAGTACTTTTGATCTTTGGAGTCAAACTCAAACCAATCAGGCACCACCCTTGTGGTTTAAATTACACTTTTTATTCCTACGGTTTGTTAAAAATTACGATTTTTGTTTCCATGGTTTACAATTCATTGTTATTTTCGTCTCTAAAACTAACTCCTACTTTTAAGTACAAGGGACGAAAAAGGTAAAGAATTGTAAACCACAAGGACCAAAACAACAATAACTATAAGAACGAAAAATAACAATAAATTGGGTGTTTGGGATTGCTTATAAAAACAACTTATTGACTTATTTCAGTGTGACATCTGTAATAAGCATTTTTAAGTGTTTAAATAAACAATTTATACCGGTAACAAAGAGTTTTTTAAGAAGTTAAACTTTTCTAGCCTATAATAAATTGATAAGTGTTTTTATAGAAAAACATAAGTTGTTTTAAAAACGTCATTTACTCAAATTTTTTTACTTTTAAAGACTCCAAATTATGTAAGAGTACAAGCAATTTTTACTCAAGTAGATGCCAAAAATCCATTCATATAATATCGACACTTTCTTGACACGTGGCAAACACCCTTTTGGCCTGCCTAAAAAGCTGGCCACATTCTGCCACGTGGACGAATCGCCAACTCTACAAAACAGAGAGAAAGATTGGCCACCTACGGACTTCCCACCCAACCAAATAACTAACAGCTGCATACATACATACACCTTTTCAACAAGAGAACACAAAGCCTTTTATGACACCTTATTTAAACCCCCAAATAACCTACCAATAATTAACCAAAAATCCAATATGGGGTGGACCAGAGGTGGTGTTCTTGGCCGTGGATCCTCCGCCACCGTCTCCACCGCCACCTCCACCACCGGAGAGGTGTTTGCCGTCAAGTCTGCCGCCCTGTCTCAGTCGGAGACTCTGCAAAGAGAGCAACAGTTTCTGTCCATTTTGAGGAGTCCTTATGTGGTAAGTTATAAAGGGTGTGAAATTACTAAAGAGGACAACAGGTTAATGTACAACCTCCTGATGAAGTACATGCCCGAAGGTACGATTGTCGACGCAATCGGGAGGCGGAAACGTGGGAGGTTAAGTGAGTCAGAGATATCGAACTATATGGGTCAGATTCTTCGGGGTTTGGAGTACATTCATTCGAATGGGATAGTGCATTGCGATATCAAAGGGGCGAATTTGTTGGTCGGCAAAGGCGGTGGTGTCAAGATTGCGGATTTGGGGTGTGCGAAGTGGGTTGGCGAGGACGTGGCGGTTCGTGGCACGCCGATGTTTATGGCGCCGGAAGTGGCTCGAGGGGAAGAACAGGGGTTTGCGGCGGATATATGGGCGGTTGGATGCGTGGTGATTGAGATGGCCACCGGTGGTTCACCGTGGACGAACGTCGACGACCCTGTTTCCGTTCTTTACAAGATTGCTTTTTCCGGTGAATCGCCGGAAATCCCGAGTGGGTTTTCACGTCAAGCAAATGATTTCATCCGAAAGTGCTTGATCCAAGATCCGAAAGAGAGATGGGGAGCAACAGAGCTTCTAAAACACCCATTTCTTCGACGATTCAATCGTAAAACACAGCAAATCGTTGATCAAGATTTTAGCAAAGGGTCACCAACAAGTGTACTTGATCAAGACGTTTGGAGTTCAATGGAAGTATCAGCGTCAGTGGGTATCGATTCGTACCAACCACCATGCTCATCAAACTCTTTGCGGCAAAGAATCAAACAGTTGGCGGGCAACCCACATAAAGAACAACCTAATTGCGAGGAGGAGATCAATTGGATGATGATCAGAAGCAATCAAAACAGTTGGGAGTTGGAGGGTTGATTGCACCAAAAATGATGCATAAAATCCAATGATCACAAGTGTTGTAGAAGTAGGAAGTGGGTAGTGTTATTTGATCCATTTTTGTGAATATGATTCCGGGTTCTTGGATTGATATTGGGTTTTATTATTTGAAACTAATTTGTATTAAATCATTATATTGAAAATATCAATAGTAAAAGAGATTTTTTTTTTAAGTAACCTGGATATCCAACTCGTTATGCGAGTCGACTAATTTTAGGGTGACCACCTGCTTTACAGATAGCCCGGAGTCACTGCATTTAAACCTCCGTGGCCACAAGAGGATTTTTATTCCTCTTTGGATTTGAATCTGGAACCTCCGGTACTTTTGATCTTTGGAGCCAAGATCAAACCAATCAGACACCAACCTTGTGATTAAAGTACAAAAGACTTGATATTTATACTAGAGATGGCCAAATCGGCGCGGCCCGGCCTGGGACCGCCGGAGGACCGGGACCGACAAAGGACCGGCCCGGGACCGGGACCGGGACCGGGACCGGTAAGGACAGGTTATGGGACCGAAAACCGGGACCGGTTGAGGTTTTTAGTAGTTTCGTAGGACCGGGACCGGTTATGGGACCGGGACCGGTTATGGGACCGACTATGGACCGGCCCGGCCCGGCCCGAAAATTCAAATAATTGTATAAATAAATGTATTTTTAAATAATTTTATAATGTATTTTTATAAGAAAACGTAATTTTAATCATATTAAAACGCATTTTTAAAGTGTATTTAAGTGACCCAATTGTAAATTTTATAATGTATTAAAAAAATATATCATTAAGAAAATAAAAAAAAATCTTATTTTTTTAATGCAAGGACCGGTTGGGACCGGGACCGGGACCGGCGGCCTATAACTGATTATGAAGTATTTTGACCGGTCCTATCATTTTGGACCGGGACCGGTTATGGCCGGTTATGAGAAAGGTGAGAACCGATTGGGACCGGCCCAAGACCGGTTTTTGGCCATCTCTAATTTATACCGATGGTTTCTAACTTTTTCATTTCATAACATTCGGTCTCTACAGTTGACACCATCAGTTAGCAACCATTATAAAGAATAAATCAGTGACAAGCTATAAAGGGGGTGTTTGAGATTGGTTATAAAAATAACTTATTGACTTATTCCGGTGTGACACCAGTAATAAGCACTTTTGAGTGTTTGGATAAACAACTTATACTGGTGCCAAACCGGTAATAAGAAGTTTTTGAAAAAGTTAAACCATTCTAAATTACAATAAGTTAATAAACAATTTTATAGAAAAACATAAATTGTTTCAAATAAATAATCCCAAAACACCCAAACTAAAAGTTGTAATTCACATTTTTTTTTATTAAAAATATTTCATATATTTGATCACAAATAATTTTTTTCCAATTAAAGTGTATATTAAATAAAAATATTTATATTTATAATCGTTGTTCATATTTATAATGTAAAAGTTATTTTGTCAAATTTATAATGTTTTAAATAAATATAAAGATTTTATTTAATATGTATTTTAATATAAGAAATTTGATTTATAATTGGATATATAAATTTTTAACAAATAATTTAAAAAAAAAATTTGCCAGTCACAATTAATTGTAGTGAATTTGACTGGACATTTAGGGGTAAACCACTGTTTCAGTGTGGGCTACGTGGTACCAAATCTTTACACTTTTGGTCCATATAGTTTATTGTTAACTGATAGTGTTAATTTAAAGGACCCTGAAGGGTAAATTACAAATTATGTCCCTGTGGTTTGATCCTGATTATGATAGGGGTCCTTGAACCCTAAAATTCATGGATAAGGTCCCTATGGTTTTACTTTCGTTATAATAGAGGTCCCTGAAGCTAACTTCTGTTAAAAAAACTCAGTTACGTCAGGGACATTTTGGTCTTTTTTTTCTTTATTTAAAATCCATTTTAAACCATCCAATTAATTTATGCCACTTGTCCTCCTAATCCACCCCTTTACATTCTCTATGATTTTACCTTGCCTTTTTCCGATCTTCTTCTCTAGCCACTTTTTTTATGCCGGTCATCTTCTCCGGACACTCTTTTTACTCTGTCATCTTTTCCAGCCACCTCTCTCACTAACTGTAACCCATCTCCTACATCGGTCTGATCATCTTCTCCGATGAAAGACTTTCTCTAGCCACCATACCAGGAAAAACACACACTAAACCAACCTAAATCCAGGCCCTAATCATCAAAATTAATATCAAAACCCCCCAAAAAACTCACCTCTAATTTAGTATAAATAGAGGGGTTGGGTTAGTGTTTTAAATATCAACTTTTCTACCATGTCAAAATTTCTCTTTAATAATTTAAGTAATCTTCATTTGAATTCTCTTTTCAAAGTTTACTTTTAATTGTCTTTCCCTTCTTGCAATTTACTTTCCTTTATTTATTTGTTACGTTTTCCATGTTTATATTCCGCTATTTACATTGCATTATTTACTTTCCATTATTTAATTTTCGTTATTTACTTTTATGTCTTTACTTATCGCAATTTATATTTCTTGCAATTTTCTTTATGTTTCATTATTTCATTTCAAGTTTTATAAAAGCAATGACACGTCTCCATGAGTTGATCATTGTAAAGTGTTAAAGTGTCATGGACTCGAAGCTGAGCCATTATTTGCACGTCAATTTGGATGATATGGAAATAGACTTCACAAAGTTACTGATAAAGAGATTTGTTATCTATATTTTCTAAATTGGTTAATTGTTGATAGGTTGATCACTTTGAAGTGTTAAAGCTGAATAGACTCAAGATGAGTCATTCGGAACTCGTTAACTTGAATGATATGAGAATCCGCTCGATTTAGTTATTTTTAACAAAGAGATTCATTTATCTGTATATTTTGAGGACACAATTTATCACTTTCACTGGTCATGATACCACATAGAGATATGGGTTGAAAGTTATAATATTAGTGCTATGATAAAATCCGAAAGAAATACACTCAAAATAAATGGTGAAAATAGTTGTTACTAATAGCATGTTGTAGCATTTTGACAACATTAGTTCATGTTGTAACATTTTGACAACATTGGTCTACTGGAGATTATATTTACATCTCACCCTAAGTCTTACACTCTGGTGTTCTTTTTTCTTTTTTGTAAATTTCAGTAGTATTAACTCAAACCCAAACAAATTCTTTAAATTCACAATCTAAAACCATTTTCTTCATATTACTCTAATTGAACTTTTACTACAATCTCAATGCACGATACTCGGTACATGTACCATTTTATTACTTGTTTTTGGTTCTGATTACTAATTATGTTGGTGTGCAAAAACCTCCTGTCACTATTGCTCGATCCTCGATTTTTGATTCTGGGTTCATCCATGGATCTAGATCGATGGTTTCCGTCACTAGTTCGATTGCCACGACCGATCCTTGAACAAACCTAAACCCAGATTGATGTCTTTCTTATTTGCTGGAGAAGAAGAAACCCAAACGCAAATGGACATCAGTTAATCAGTAGTTCGATTCTCGTTCAAAACCACCACCGTCGCCACTGGTTTGATGGAGTTCAAACGGGGAGAGGGTCACTGGAAAAACCACAGGGATCAAATTGTTAGAGCTAAACGATGCGTTAGGGACCAAATCGCCGGAGTTCATCCATCAATCCAGATCTTCACTGAGATGGAGAGGGAGGCACTGGAGAAAGGAAAGGGTGGAACAGCTGGATTTGCAGGTCTTGAGGCATCGATGGAAAACAGGTAAGGAGGGGTTTGTTGTTCGAGATCTGGTAAAGGGAGTTGAGGAAGACGAAGGGTGAGGAGGTCGGAGATGGTGGTGGCCGTTGATGGAGGAAGCCAGAGATGGTGGTCGTTGTTGATGGAGGAAGCCGGAGATGGTGGTGGCCGTTGACGGCAGAAGAAGTCGGAAAAGGGGGGTGTCAGTTTCATTCTTTTGGTGGTGGTCGTCTCTCTGTGTGTGTGTATATATATATATATATATGGTGATTATTATACAACCCTTCACATTTATACAACTCAATCTCAACCGTCCATTTTATAGAAGTTTTGATTGTTTTCTAATATAAAGTACTGATCATAATTAATGAACCATATTTATCTTCCATAAATATTCAAATCATAATAAATAAACTCTCATCATTTCCATAAATATCTCAATTTATTGGGTTGCATTAGTTGTAAAAATGCGATGGGTTGTATTTGAAACAAACTCTCTCTCTCTATATATATATATGCATTATAGCGGGGGTTCAAACAAGCACACCTTCATTTTACGAGAACGTAAGGACACCCTTATCACATGTGATAACACACGTGAGGGGATCCTGTGATGTGGGGACGACGTGTTGTACAACTCAAGTCGCGTCAAAGGTTGTCTTGGTCTATGATTTAGCATCACATGTAATAGTCTTAATGGATTATAGTATTATATCAACAACAATCTTATCGCATGTGATAATACTTGTGAGGGGGCTTAGTGGTGTAAGGGCGATTTGGCCCGCAACCAAGATCGCGTCGAAAATCTTCCGCTTCTCTGATTTAGTATCACATATGTATCATATGTGATGGAATAATAATATCACGTGATTGTCTATAGTAAAAAAATGTTCTCGTATTCTCGTAAAATAAAAGTGTTCTCGTTTGAACTCTTCCTTATTAAATATATTATTAATACAAGAAAATGCCAAAAATTGGAAAAGACAAAAATGCCTTGACTTAACTGAGTTTTTTTTTTTTAACAGAAGTTAGTTGCAGGACCTCCATCGTAACGAAAGTGAAACCATATAGACCATATCCATGAATTTTAGGGTTCAGACCTCCATCTAAATCAGCATCAAACTACAGGGATGGAATTTGTATTACGCAACTTGCTGAACCGTTACTTACTAAAATGGCTAAAATGCTACTAACACGACTTGTTGAAGTGTTATTTGTAATATCAGCATTTTGCAAATAACACTTTAACAACCGGTTAAACTGTTGTTATATAAATATTAAGAGGT